AGGAGACGAAATGATGAAAGTGCTCGAGTGAAAAAGTCGGCAGAAGTGAGAATAGCTCAATCTCCTTCCCCCGTCATCGGCCCACCAATCCACCATCACAATTTTACTCCTAAATCTTTAAAAAAAGTCCTCGAACTACCCAGCCCAATTACATACGATAGTTTTACTGCATAAAACAGTTTCTGTAACCGGCACCTGAAGTACCGCATTCTGACCTACTTTAATACACTGAAAATTCTATTCAAAATCATAAAACGCATGATTGCTGTTCTATTGAAATAACTCGATGTTCTCCAGCCCACAATCCAATGCTTCGGGATGAAGCCGACACTAAAACCATGCTGAGACAAATGAAAAAGAAAGCGATCAAGAATACTTTAGTAGGGACGAACCTTGGCATATATGCTGGCAGCACTGACGATAGGATAGGTGGCATCAGCTTTGCTCTCTACCACAATCTTCAGATCGGGAAAGATGGAACCAAGGTAAGCCTGGTAGACCTCTGCCTTTCCAACTGTATCCACATAGACCTATAGAATTGATCGGAAGACTGAGGCACTACGTGATGATTGGCATAGAGCCGTTTGAGATCGTGAAAAGCGGGGCCCTTTCAAACACCTCAACTCTCTATAGCTGTTTGGTTATTTCGACAAAACTTCTAAATTGCAATTTTTATGTTACCATAACACTGCTCCACGCTCTAGATATTATCTCAACACAGAAAAATGAATGGAAAAGCGAATAAAACTGTTAGCAAAACCTCTGTTACGCCCGTCATCGGTGACGCCTTGATTTTTGTACTTGAGTTCTAAATAATAAACGGATAATGCTTTTTGCAAGTCGACACGAGTTAGCTCAGGCACAAAATCCATCGTCTAGAGAAGAAAGGCAATCACGAAAATAATTTCGATGGGAAAAAACGAACCTCCTTTAGGTTCACGGCCTGATCAATTGCTGACCGAATAAGACCAATTGCCGCATTCTGTGAGATGACGTTGAGACTGACTTTCTGGCTAAAGTAGATACAACAGAGCCAAAAATTTGTACTCTAATTAGTTCGAATGGCATTGCAGCTATGATGTATCTTACCTGCTGAGCATCTTCTCAGTGATCTCCATAGGCGAGATGGCATGGATAGTGTAAGCGATCCAGTCATTTTCGTTGAGCATTTGTTTCAACAACTCCTCGCGCCTCTCTTCCGTTAACTGCTTAGAATCTGATCAGTATGCGGAAATGTAGAACAAATTCGCACCTGCCAAACCCATTTCCTTCAAGGCGTTCTTTTTGCTTAACGGCGCCACGGCACACGCATAAAGCATCGGACCTAAAAGATCAATATCACAAATTGTACTAACAAAAATAAGTAGCAAATGTATTTTCAAAAATTACCGAGTACAGGTCCTCTCCCCGCCTCGTCTATGCCAAGCATGCAGGGAGTGAGTCGACTGGCCTCCGAAAGCAGATCAATGGAGGAATGGATAAGAGATGCACCACCTCTAGCGAGGCATTCGCTGAGATAACTCTGGTACCGAAATGTAGGTGATGATGATGATGAGCTGTAGTTACGCTCATCATGAGCATCGTCCGCTGCAGCCGAGCTTATATTGAGGTTCGTGTTCTCCTTATCTGAGCTCATGGCTGAGGATAAACAAATAGATTAACGTGAACAAGTTACTGACTTTTCAGTGGAAAAGCTGTGCTCAACTGCAAGACACATGCACAATAACCGCACTAGTTGGTTCATTTAACAAAGTAGGGAATTGAAATCCCAGAGAACTTACGCACCATTGCGGTGGAAATGATAGGAACATAACGAGTCTCTTGAACAAGAACGACATTCCCTATAGAATGCATTAATTCCTTCACATTATTACGCCCAATGGTCACTTCGACTGCCTCAAATCCGCAATCAAAAGCATGACTGACTCAACGCATTTCAATCGAGAATGCACAGCAAATGCTGCTTTTCAATTAGGAATCGTGAATCAACACTCCGTAAAGTGCGTCAAGGCACCAAGAGTAGCGACTTAAGTTCCACACGTTAACATCCAATACCTGCCAGCACCTCAAAATCAACGAGATAGGTAACGCCTCGAACAGTCAGCGTGATTTCGACGACCTCCCAATTTCGATCAATCCTTGTCGAGCCCCTTATTAGCACCACTTTGATATGGATCAACAATTGCATGAACGTTTGAGGCATCACAGATACCGTAACCACTTGACACGACGAGACAACAAAAGCAAAATTGAGGTTTGTTCACAAGTAATTTAACATTATAAAACTAGGTTAAAACACATTTGTGAATATGAGACAAAATATCGACTCTGGGACACAGAGTCTTAGAGATCAGTAAAAAATGCATTATCAAGAGCAGTTCACCTGTTTCCAAGACGCGATTTTCAGTGCTAGCAGAAAAACAGTAGCAACACCGACAGCAGAGCACGCCCAAAACAGACAAACGCCAATAAGGACTACCAGTAGGAGGAATTGTAAATACATTTGAAATGGGGACTAGGCCAATCGTATCTGTACAGGGGTGGAAGATGTGGAAGGAGGTAAGACGGACTAGGGAGGGGGTAGAGGTGAAGGTGGGTTGTCCCAAAGGCCTGCTTCGCGCATCTTTCTTATAAAGAGGGCATCGAGAGAGGCGACATGGCGATATAGGTCGGAGTCGGGGTGGTTGTAAGTTCGGCAGTTGTGAAACATTCGCCGCATGTCGGCAATAAAGAGATCCACATGGGTGTAGTACCGACTTCGCAGGCGTTCCGTCATCGTGCGCAAATCTGATCAGAAGCAATAACAGGTGATCATACGGGTCATCAAATATTCCACAACTCAGACTCCATGCTGATGGTACAAGACGCCATTCATATCGCCTTCAGCTATTTCCATTTGTCCACAGTACGTCAGATATCAAATTGGTGAAGCTGCTGACACATACACCATGAATAAGGCTAATTAGCCTGCCAATATCATACCTACCTTGTAGATACTCCATGCTCGAGTCTTCTAATGGGGAACAGTAAGTAAAAAATTTGGGTTCGAAGACGGCAAGACGGTCTACCGAGCACAGCAACTTGTACTCAGTGCTTGGGTCTACGACAACTCGCCTTCTCCATCGCGATTGAGCCACAAAAGATGTCCTGCATAGAACATCCTCTACTTTTTTTTAGCCCTATTTCCCACAATAAAACTCTCTCTGTTGCAAACCAGTGCAAGAACGCAAAATTCATGAAAACAAGCCGAACAAATTACATTCATTCCCGATAGTAGTCCAAAGGCATTTTGTCATCTACATTCCCACCGCTCAACTGATTATGATTGACACGATATGATTGGCAAACCTTGTGAGTGGCTACTTAAAGCTCCAATTTCTTGAACCGATGTCCACCTTAATCGGACATCTGGCCTACGTGGATCCTTTCAGCTCCCGTGATTCAATTTCCATGGTAGTGGGATGCGGTTAAGGTTAAGTCACCTGTGCTACCAGGCTTAGCCCCTTTGGTGTCAGCCACCCGGCTGACATACCTCCGTTACGTTTTCACGAGTAAGTGACCCAAATTTTCCCTGCGCCTTCATGGCTAACGATCTAAAAACCATCGGTAGAACGTACTTGTTATTAATACTAAATACCCAGTGCCTCTTGGTGGCACGTAGTTTCTGCTTTTGAATTTCTTCATTCGAAAGCCACTGTTTGCAAATGGAGGTAGCAATTCAAACCTTGGTATGAGGTATGGCTAGGTTAAACTAATTCATCCGACTGGCACAACCTTAAAATCTCATTCGAATTACCCATTTTGATAAATGGATCAACTGCGAAACCGCTTACTAGAATGATGAGTAAGGCGCATCTTGAAATAAACGGAATAATATTTCCACGCTCGCAGCCTAGAACATTAAAACCCCGCGGAGTAGATTTGCTCAAAAATGACTGCCAGAGAGTAATGGGAAAAGCTTCACCCAAATAAAACTAACGCAGAGTAGCTTTC